GGCGCGTTGCTGAACCAGGCCAGGTGGCAGTCGCCGCCGGCGGCCGGCCGCTCGAACGCCTGGATGACGCTGAAGGGGCCCGTGTCGAGCAACAGCAGGCCGCCGTGCCGCTGGCCCAGCAGAAGGTAGTCGTCCGAGAGCGGGTCCCAGGCGAGCGCCGTGACGGCCGCGTCGCCGTCGGCCTCGGGCAGCGGCACGTGGCGGCGCACGCGGCCGCTGGTCGGCACCACGCTCAGCGTGCCGTCCTTGTGGCCGACGGCGAGCTTGCGGCGCCGCGGGTGCCAGACCAGCTGCTGCACTTCGGAGCTGAACGGCGCGGCGCTGTCGGGCCGCAGCGGCACCGGCGCGCAGCCGTCCAGGCAGCGCCAGGCGAGCAGCGGGCCGCGCGCGCCGCTCACCGTCAGCAGGTCGGGCTCATGCGGGCTCCAGGCCACCAGGCGCGGCGTGCTGTCGAGCGAGACGCGCGCCACCACGCGCTGCTCGGCCACGTTCCAGGCGCAGAGCAGACGGTCGGCGCCCGACGTGGCCAGTAGACCGCCGGCCAGCCAGTCCAGGCAGGTCACCAGCTTGCTGTGCGCCGTGAGGATGCAGTCGAGGCGCCACGCGTTGCGCGCGCCCTCCTGCCGGTACACGTACACCGACTGGGTGGCCGCGTACGCGAACCAGGGCGGCGCGGCGGCGCACACGTTTGGGTTCCAGGGCTGGCTGCCGGCGGCCAGCAGCCTTAGCTGGCGCACCGCCTCCATGGCCGGCCGGGGGCGGCGCCGGGCCCGCTCTGGCGCCGTCGCCGGCGACCCGCCCGCTCGTCGCACATCGATTCGGCAGGTCGATGGGGCCTGGTGCAAGCCGAGCTAGTGCCGGTCGGCGGGGCCGCTCCGCCCAGTGGTCAATACGGGTACCTGCCCTGCAGCCCTCCCCCTCCCGCCCCCCGGCCGCGCGGCCGGCTTATGAAGTGGGCGGCCGCGGTGTCGGCGTGCCCTCCCGGCGGGGGCCTGTCGGAGAGCACGCACGCTCCCCCACGCTCCCCACAGCTGCTCTCACAGCGTTGTCCGGCGGCCGACTGGTCAGAGTCGGACCAGCTCGGGCGCGAGACGAGTGTCTGACAGCCGGCGGCGTTAGCGCGGCTGTGGAGCGCGTCGGGCCGCCGGCGGTGGCGTGCAGCACGTCGTCGGGGCGCGCCCCGGACCGCCGGCCGGCGCCGTGTGCACGGCCACCCCGGTGATATCGATTGGGAGTCGCGTGAATGGTCAGCGGGTCGGGCGATGTCTGAGCCCTCCGCACCCACCCCCACCCCCACCCCCACCGCTCCGCCTTCTACCCCTGTTCAGGAGCGGCGTGTCAGCGCGCTGGAGGTACCGCAGAGCTGGTGTCGGCGCGCTGGAGGTGCCGTAGAGCTGGTGTCGGCGCGCTGGAGGTGCCGTAGGGCTGGTGTCGGCGCGCTGGAGGTGCCGTAGGGCTGGTGTCAGCGCGCTGAAGGTGCCGTAGAGCTGATGTCGGCGCGCTGGAGGTGCCGTAGGGCTGGTGTCGACGCGCTGGAGGTGCCGCAGAGCTGGTGTCGGCGCGCTGCAGGTGCCGTAGAGCTGGTGTCAGGGCGCTGCAGGTGCCGTAGAGCTGGTGTCAGGGCGCTGCAGGTGCCGTAGAGCTGGTGTCGGGGCGCTGCAGGTGCCGTAGAGCTGGTGTCAGGGCGCTGCAGGTGCCGTAGAGCTGGTGTCAGGGCGCTGCAGGTGCCGTAGAGCTGGTGTCAGGGCGCTGCAGGTGCCGTAGAGCTGGTGTCAGGGCGCTGCAGGTGCCGTAGAGCTGGTGTCAGGGCGCTGCAGGTGCCGTAGGGCTGGTGTCAGGGCGCTGCAGGTGCCGTAGGGCTGGTGTCAGGGCGCTGCAGGTGCCGTAGAGCTGGTGTCAGGGCGCTGCAGGTGCCGTAGAGCTGGTGTCAGGGCGCTGCAGGTGCCGTAGAGCTGGTGTCAGGGCGCTGCAGGTGCCGTAGGGCTGGTGTCAGGGCGCTGCAGGTGCCGTAGAGCTGGTGTCGGTGTATCCTGCAGCGTCACAGGGATGTATTGCGAACGTTTGCGTGGCTTTGCTGCTGCTGCTTTTTAACTTGGGAGTCGTGCTGTTGCATGACCCTGATGCACTCTCGCGCGTCACCCATTGTCATTACGGCGATGGAACCAGATGCTATTTGGCAGGAGTTTCCTCTCCCGCTTCGCTTTGCCGTCACCGACATGAGCAAATTCAGTTGGTGATCTGTGACATTCCTCAAGTTTCGACTCCAAAAAATCAAGCCCAGTTTTGCCATGCATTGAAACCTCTGGAAGGTGGGCTTCTTGTGGACGCTTGACGGTTGCCGCGCCCTGCCCCGTCAACCTACAGCTATATTGGGACCATCGATTGTGCTGCTGAGTCGAGATGTGGGCGTTTATTTATAGCAAATTATGTGCGATAAATCAAAAGACAATTTGTTTTCGAGCTCCATACGAGGCCCCGGAAGTTTCCCGTGATTGAAATGGTTGCTTTACCGATAGTGGACCTACAGTCCTGATATCGCCCCAATGGTGTGTTACTTTCTTCCGCCATAGCCCTGCTGTCTTAGAAAGGGGCACCGCACGAAGATGAGACGAATACACGCACGAAGATCAGACGAATAGATTTGGCTCATACATTGTTACAGACCCAACTTTTGCTTTGTTTTACTGTGCTTGTGCGGCCGGTAGGCGTCTGCACCCGTCCGCCCAAGGAGGGTCCGGAGCGGACAAACCCCCTGCCCTCACTTCTGAACCGTGCTTGTGGAGATGCTGTCCGTAGCGGATAGCGGGATCGAACGGACACCCATCTCAGGTGTGTCTGGCGCATACGCTGGTGATCGACTGGCTCAGACTTGCGCTGGCTGCTGGGCGGGTGGAGTAGCCCCACCTTGTCCAGGTCTTGTCCCGTCCATAGAGGACCTGAAGCTGACCGGCATTCTACCTTCTCTCGACCCACCCTCCATGTTTGGTCTTATCCCGTCCACAGAGGACCTGAAGCTGACCGGCATTCTACCTTCTCCCCACCCACCCTCCATGTCTGGTTTTGTCCCGTCCACAGAGGACCTGAAGCTGACCGGCATTCTACCTTCTCTCGACCCACCCTCCATGTCTGGTTTTGTCCCGTCCACAGAGGACCTGAAGCTGACCGGCATTCTACCTTCTCTCGACCCACCCTCCATGTCTGGTTTTGTCCCGTCCACAGAGGACCTGAGGCTGGCCGGCATTCTACCTTCCCTCGACCCACCCTCCATGTCTGGCGTTGCCCCGACCACAGAGGACCTGAAGCTGACTGATTTGCCAGCCTTCGCCGACCGCTCGGCTGCGTTCGGACGTGTGACGCTCCAGTGCCATCCGCAGAGAACGTGGAGCTGGCGGATGAACCGTGCCCCATCGGACACCGCGAGATCGGACGATACTTCGTGCGCTACGACGGCCGACGCTATGTGCCAGTGGCGGCGTTGGCGCAGCGCTACCCTGACCCGGGCGAGACGGACGCCAGTGACGAGGCGGAGCCTGCCGGGGCCGCCGGCGGCGAGCAGGAGCCGGCCGGAGCCGCCGGCGGCGAACCGGGGGCCAGCGGCGCCGCTCCCGGGCCGGTCGGCGCGCTGCCGACTCTGGTGGAGGAGGCGGACGAGACGGAGGAGGTGGTACTGGAGGAGGGCGAGCCGCTGGAGAGTGGTGGCGGCGGGGTGGCGCTGGGAGACGGCCGCTGACGGGGGCAGCCGCGCCGAGGAGGGGCGGCTCCCGACCTGGCTGTGATGGCCCCGGGCCGGTGCGTGGTCGCTGATGGACTGAAGCCACCGCTCTTGAGCAGTGGTCGTACCGAGCTAGCCCTGGTACACATCACACATCAACCAAGGCGTGGAGTGTTGCCGGGATCTATCCTGTGGCGTGTTTGTTTTCTGTTGGGCTGCCGTGCCGTGTGTTCCATGAATATTATCGCCTTGATTCTGAGCAGCTTTATACTGTTTAGACGATAGATGGTGCACATCCAAGGCATGGGACGTTGCCGGGATCCCCCGGCATGATTGTTTTCTGTTGGGCTGCCTTTCCGTGTGTTCCATGAATATTATCGCCTTGATTCTGGTCAGCTGTATACTGTAGATATGATAGGTGTAACCCTGTACAAGATGCATGCGGTGTTTTACAGGCGCTTACTAAAGCCATTTTGATACGTAGTTGTGCCTTCTAGAGGCGCAGTGTGTTGCTTCGGTGTAGTCAGGCTTGTTCGGTACAACTGAGACCGGTGCCTTCACTTCATTCGAGATGTCAGTCTGTCTATTTGTTGCAAGAACTGTGTGGTCTGTCCGCCAATTTTATCATCGAATGGAACTCGCCGGTTGTGTCTTGGCAGCCACTCTTCCAGGTGAATGCATGCTGCCACGACTATGTGACTGATTTGCAGTTTGCTCAGAATCTAACATGTCTGATTAATGCGAAGGCAACGCGTTCTACCACCATGTGCTGGCACAATTTGTCGCTTAAATAAGTATAATGACAACAAATGCTTGTGTGTCATTGTATGCCAGCAGCTAAGGTGTAAAACCGCGTGCAAGGCAGTACAAGACAGAACAAGTACAAGTGCATCACGACATAAATACGCGCTTCCTTCAGCGCGGGGCCACGTCCCTCCAACGCGGTGGCATAGACAGAAACAAAGCATCGGTTAGGCTTGAATCGCACAGGCGCTGAACCAGAGATGTAATTATAACAAGGTGCTCCACTGCAGCAGAGTGGGCGGAGAGATTCATACTCCATGAAACCACCATTTCCAGCCGTCTGCCCGCCGCGCCCGCTCATGCCCATTTACGTCCGCCAGCAATGGCAACAGGTCCCAGTGGAAAATAGAACGCTTAAGAGCAAACAAAAGGTCACACAGGTGCGTGTTTGGCGCCTGTCATCGGCGATTGCTTGGCGGTCGGGTCAGCTGATGAAACCGGACATGTGCGGGCGTGGTGGAGCCGAGATTTGTGCTCTCGGCAGCAGAACGAGGTACGAAACACACCCACCAACAATCAACAACGAAACAGCCACAGACAACGCCAGCGCGACAGCAGCAGCGAAGCTCACAACCAGCAACAAAAGCACGTACCCTGTTTGATCGTCTCTGCGGTGAGAGCGGGACGCGGTGTCCCTCTCCTCTCGGTGCGCCACTATGCTCGGTCAGGTCTCGTGTCCCCGGTCCAGACTGATGCCCCGAGTCATGCTGGTGAACAAGGACTGCGGCAGGGGATTCTGATCAGGCTGGACTACTTGAACCGGACTGGCACCTGGACCAGGCTGAATCCCCGGATCAGACTGGCCCCTGGACCAGACTAGCACCTGGACCAGGCTGAATCCCTGGATCAGACTGGCCCCTGGACCGGACTGGCACCTGGACCAGGCTGAATCCCCGGATCAGACTGGCACCTGGACTAGGCTGAATCCCTGGATCAGACTGGCCCCTGGACCAGACTAGCACCTGGACCAGGCTGAATCCCTGGATCAGACTGGCCCTGGACCAGACTGGACTCGCTGGACCAGACAGATGGTCCCAGACCAGCCCAGCATCACTGGACTGGTTCAGTGTTCCTAGACCGGCCCTTCCCAGACCGGCTCAGTGTTCCCAGACCGGCCCAGTGTTCCTAGACCAGTTCAGTGTTTCTGGATCGTCCCAGTGTTCCCAGGCCGGTCCGGTGTTCCCAGACCAGTTCAGCGTTCCCAGACCGGCCCAGTGTTCCCAGACCGGCCCAGTGTTTCCAGACCGGTTTAGTGTTTCTGGATCGTTCCAGTATTCCCAGACCGGCCCGGTGTTTCCAGACCAGTTCAGCGTTCCCAGACCGGCCCAGTGTTTCCAGACCAGTTCAGTGTTCCTGGATCGCTCCAGTGTTCCCAGACCGGCCCAGCGCCTGTGAGCCGGGCTGATGACCTCGCGCCGACTCAGGACCCAGTCTCGACTGGCCGGGACCTCTGCCGGAGCAGACCCAGCACCCCGCGGCGGGCCGACGCCGCCGGCCGCGCGCCGCCTAGTCGCGGCGCGGCCGCAGCGTCAGCCGCAGCTCGTCGGACATGACGCCGACCATGCGCATCAGGAAGGCGGCCGGCCGGTCGTTCTCCGCCCGCAGCCGGAAGGTGTGTACAAGCCGCGCCAGCAGCAGCTGCATTTGCAGCTCGGCCACCCGCTTGCCGATGCAGCCGCGCACGCCGGCCGCGAACGGCATGCAGGCGTGCCGGTGCTGCCGGCCGTGCTCGTCGTGCACCGAGCCGTGCACGACGTCCTTGCCGTGGTACTCGGCGTCGGAGGCGGGGTCGGCGGGGTCGGCTGGCGACCGTAGCCAACGTTCGGGCCGGAACGACAGCGGCTCGGCGAAGTAGCGCTCGTCGCGGCCGGACGTGTAGAGGGACACGCAGAGCGGCGTCTGCCGGGGCGGGGCGGGAACGTCAGGCCCGGAGGAAGCGCGCGACGCCAGCTGCTACCGACGCTGGAGAATGGGGAAGATTCACGAGCTCAACATGTGGAACGGATTTTCACGACCGTCTACGGGACATGTGAAAAAGCGCTTAAACTGCGTTATACGAATATGCTGCGTTATATGCGTGTACTATGTAACATGTGGACACGAAAGAGCCCTTGTCTGTATATCCATGACCCCCACAGACAGACGCATGGTGTGACGACAGGCGCGTCTTAACCGGGCGGGCGTATGTTACCTGGTATATCTTACCCCGGCCGGTATTTGGTATCTGGTATATCCCCGGCTGGTATCCGATATCTGGTATATCTTACCCCGGCCGGTATCTGGTACCCTCCGATGACGGTGTCCGCCTGGATGAGGCGCGTGAGGAACGGCGCCACCGGGTACATGCGCAGCGTCTCCTTCACGATCGCCTTCACGAGCGGCACGCGGTCGATCTGGGCGGCTGTCAGCTGCGGCGCACCGGCTGGCGCCACCTGTCGGATCTCCGCCAGAAGGCGCTGCTGCAGCGCCGGGTCCCGGCCCAGCTGGTAGAGCGCCCACTGCGTGCTGTGCGCGGTCTGCGGGGCGGGGAGGCGGGTTACAGTCCGCCTGGTGAGGTGGTCCACAGTGTGGTGTAGGAGAGCTGGTGGGACAAGGAACGAGTCCATAGCTCTTGCGGTCGTCAGCGCGACTTAACAAAGAGACTGGCTCCGACCAGGACGGCGCGCCCCCAAGCTACATCCTCTCAGCGCCCTCAGACCTCACCGTGTCGCCGGCCGCGAGGAAGAGGTCGGCCACGATGCGGACGATGTCCTCTCGGGTCACGTCCTCGTTGTTTTGCATGATCTCGGCGATGATGCCGACCGCCGGGTTCCCGGCCGCCAGGTGCTGCTCAACGTCCGCGATCTTCTGCTCCACGTACGTCCGGCCTGCGAGGACGACGCTGGTGTCAAGTGCGTCTCGTGGTTCTGGCGATGACGTCGTGGTGAATTCATCGCCGCCAATTTTAAGATGTTTAGAAATTGCGCCGACGCTCAGCATCATCGCGCAGCCGAGCACGACATATTGACGGCGCAGCAAGCCACGCATCCTCCTGTTCATTGTAAATGAGTATCTGCTGCCCACATCCATATTCATTTGGACGAAGGCAAAACATCATGCACTGCTTTTTTGTTTCATGTAATTGCAATCCCACTGTCTCCAAGCGGTGCAATATTCGCCGCAGTAGCGCCACAAATGCTACCAACTGTGTTCTCGTGACACGCGGCTGTTACAAGGAGCACTCTTCCCAGTCTACAATGACACAAAACGCAACCCAATCGTGTTCGGGCTGCTGCATAAGCGAGGACCGGAGACTCGGCGCCTGGCGCCTCTCTGCCACGATCGGCACTGGGCCCCGTCCACTCACAGATGTCGAGCCCCTGCTGGACGGCCGTCTCGAAGCGGCGCCACTCTGGCGCAGCGTCCTGCGCCGCCGCCGCCGCGTCCATCGTGCTCAGCGTCGCCGAGCTGCTGAAGATCTCGCGCATGAGGCCGGCGAAGCGACGGGTGTCGGTGGCGGCCGTTGGCACGCCGGCCACCCAGCCGAAGCTGTCGCCGAACAGCAGCGCTGCCATGACTGCGGGACGGGGCGGGGCGGGTCAGAGAGGCGCCGGGCGTAGCCGGTCGGGGAGACGGAGGGAGCGGGCCGGAGGGCGATGGGGTCTGTAACGAGGCGAGCTCTCGGCGAAGGCGGGGTCGGCATCTGGAGAACCGTCGAAGTAGGCAGGTGCGAGTGATGCCGGGTCTGTACCAGTCGGAAGTGTCATTGTGGGCGGGTGAAAGGGGGTGCACGCTCTGTATCGGTGAGAGCTATCAGAGTATTGGCAGCCTTCCAGCGGTGCCGGGTCGGTGAATTGTTGCGCCGTCAGGAGGGGGAAAGGGGGGGGGGGGGTAGGGTGTGTCCGCACAGATCGTGTCTATTGGGCGCTTCTCTACACATGCTGACGGCTCACTGACATCCGTCTGCCCGTCAGGCCGTTAACCAGCTGCACCCGTCCGCGTCTGTCCGCGATCAGTTCCTTTCTCGCCGGGTTCAGCCAGCTCATGCTCCAGTCAGTCTGTCGGGTCGTCGGCCAGCCTGTCTCAGGGCCGTCGGCAGACCACGCAGCCGGCCGGTCCGTTAGGGAATCAGCAGCCCGCAGCCACGCTCAGCTCGGGTCCCGTTAACCTATCGACGCCGCGTCGTTCGTCACTGTCACGCGTCGGCATACGACGGACCGGGCGGATCCCCGTCACTGCATCTGTAGCGGTACTGCATCCTGCAGATCCGACACGCTGCCACCACGTAACACTCCACGAAGTCGCGTACTCCTACGTTGCAACACCGAGCTTGCAAGGTACGGCCAAGACAGCGCTGCGCACTCCGGTCGGTTGTGTAACACTTGCTGATGGGCACAGTTTCTCGTCCGATGACGTCTTTAAAAAAGGAGCCCTCGCCTGCAAACATCCGCGCAGATGTCCTTCGCTGGCACGGCGGCGCGCGGCAGCCCCGATGCGCGCCCTGACCCAGCGGCCGTCACCGCAGCGTGTTTGTAAACAGCGGTCAGGGCGCGGCGGCGGCGGCTACCGAAGCGACCAGGTCAGGCGCGGGGCCGGGGTCGGTGCGGCCGACCCCCAGAGGTCAGCCGGTCACGCCGCGTCGCAGGGGCTGACGCAGCGGCGGCGGACGCCGCAGGGCGGTGCGTGTGTCACCGGTGCGGCGCGGTGACGTCGGCCGCCTGGCGGGCCAGGGCGTCTCCTCATACCGTGACGTCACGAACCAGGGCTGAATCGGAGCCTCGATTGACGCGACGTGTGGACATGACAGCATCCCCGTGTCCACTTCCGCGGCGCAGGCGAGCTCCCCGAAAGGCAGACGACCGCCGCCGTCGAGACGTCTATCGATGTGGCCCATCGAGGGAGGCCGGCCGGCCAGGCGGCGCTGCCGTCGCCGGCCGTGCGGGGTGGGCCACCTTGATCTGGGACGCCGCCGCCGCCGCCGCTCCCGGACGCCGAACCGGCCGGATTACTCCACAAATGACGCCGGCTGACTGCTGGTGACGATGCAGCGCTCGTTTTGGAGGTGAACGTCCTCCTGGCCTTGTGGCGGGTTCTGGACTGAGGTGGGTGCTCGCGCTCTCAAGCACGGGCACAGACTTAAAAGGACAGTGGTCCCATCGCTCTACTTCGGGAACATATATGCGTGTTGGGCGTCCAAAGGATTTGGAAGCTGCACAGGACGGCCGAGTTAAGTGGCCTGATACTCCATTTGTGAACATGGCCGTCTGCGCACCGTAGCTGAGAACAAGGGTTATCTCGGAAACGAGTTTGCAGTTACCACGGCTTGCTGGTACTGCATACTTAAAACGACATCAACAGTTGAAACGCACCGTGTTCTGAAAAACTGACATGCAACGGTGGATTTGTTCGAGTATAGATCCAAACCAATGCTGCGACAAAACTCTGCATTGCTGGGTGTACGGTGAGTGCGATGGGGAAAGCGACTCAAACCTTCTGAAAAGGAACAATTGTCGTGTTGTCTGAGTGTCTATTTCCGGATTATCCTCTTGTTATGCCACCGTGAGCGATTCGGACACTCCCTACTCCTTCACTCCGGGCGGCAACAAAAACCCCGTAGTGTGACAACGTATCTCCGCCCCTCTCTGCGCCCAGCCGTACGTAATTCGTAAAGTATAGTACAAACGGCCTCCCAGTTCCACTTCTTTGGCCCGGTAAAAAGTGGCATGGACAAAAACACGTCTGGTTACCGATCCCCAACCGGAACAGATGCGCAATGGGAAAGGGCAGAAGGCCGGAGCACCTGAGCCAATAGAAGGCAAGCTGGCGTCGGGTTCAGAGTTGAACCACGTCTGAACCACGGCTAAACCACGGCTCAAAGGCTGGTCGGGCAACTGGACGGGGACTGAGGGTATGCTGGCTGAGAGTATGGTGGCTGGTGCCGGGCTAAGAAAGACCGCGGCTCTTTTTACGCAGCAGCGAGTCACACGAAAACCCGTCGCCAGTTTCTCTGAAACGTTGAAACACCAGCACTTTCTCCTTTCCAGATTGAAGCTCGGTAGAGAGCTGGCTTGTTCTCGGAAGGCCCATTTCTAAACACGGACGGGTCCCTCGAGGTGCGCAGCACGTGCTGCATTAGCATGCGCCGCACCGGCGGGGGCCGATGCATCGGACGCACAGAATAATGGCGCGGGTTGCCGGCCCCCGCGCAGCTCCGCCCGAGCTACCTGGGCCGCGTTCCCCATCACCAACAGCTGTCCACAAGTTGCAACCTACGACGTCAGAGGTAAGTGCGTCACAGCTCCTGCGGCTTGTAGGATAATCGCTGATCCATGACGTAGGTATCGCGACGTTAAGGATACCAACTAAGTAGGTACTCTGCCAGTGGGGAACGCGGCCCTGGTGTTATCGGGATTGACTGAGGACATGTAGTACCGGCGGACACAGAAACTCAATCGCGTCAGGTCAAGCCCACTTGGACCCTCGGCAGCTGCGACCGCATGCCGCCGCCACATCTCCAGCCTCCGCCGCCTGACAGCTCAGGACACGCGTCTGGGCTCTGCTGCCCACCTATGAGCAGCGCACTTGACGGACGGGGAACGACTGGCCGCTGGCTGGCCGGCCGCAGGAAGACGCCACGCGCCGTGGCCAGAAGGTGAACAGAGCGAAGCTGTCCGGGCGGCGGCCGGGGATAGCCCGAGGCTGGTCTCCAAACAGGTTTGGCCTTAATAATGCGGGCCAGTGTCAGGATCGTGACCGTCATTTGGGTGCATCTGTGGCCTTGGCTGCGATGTGAACGAACGTGAGTTGACCCGAAAAAGCGCCGTCTCGCGGCTCACGGTCTCCGCCAATGCACACAGCTCTTTGGGGGAACGTCTGGAATTTGCGGTAGCGTAGTTTAAATTAGAAGACCGTCAGCTTTGCAGCAGCGTAGCTTAAAAAGAAGACTGTCGCGCTGTCGCTCGCGTAATCGTGTGTACGTCAGACATCAAATCGAAACATAAGGACGTCAAAGGAAGGGATGGTGGAAGGCCAGCAATCGCACCCTCATCAGCTGCAAACTTTACAGAGAGCTGGACCGGAAAGGTCATTATTTATTGCATGACGAATTTTGCCCTTCTATGCACTTTTAAAGCCTGCCCGCAGCTCGCAAAACAAACTCAGATTCAGACACAGATTCCACCCCGCCGCCTCAATGCTACATCGGTTCTCAAAATATTCCTTGGGCCTAACAGGTCCCGACATCGCCCTCGAAAACCCACCCTTCACAAAACTGGCATGAGGTGCGTCCAGGCCGGCCGAGGGCCGCCACCACCGGCGCTAGGCGGCCGCCTGTCGCTCTCGGAACTACACTCACTCTCGACGCTGAAGGTGTACAGCTCGTCCTCGGTGTGGCTGACCTGGCCGCCCATCTGGTGGTGCCAGCGGCGCAGCAGGCTGCTGATCACCTGGTTGAAGGCGGCCACGTGCCGGTGCGGGCTAGGCTGCAGAAGGTAGCGATTCATGATGCGCCGGTGGTGCTGCCACCTGTGCCCGGTCCTGCCGAACCACACGGTGCCGGCTGGTGTCACGAACATTGGAGTGAGGTGGCGGCCAGCGACTGACAAGCTACGGTGTACAAACGGAATGCTGCTCAGCAATGTGCAGCGTACAGGCGGGTATACCGTGTCACTTGTACCGCAAGATTACACAGTATTTGGTAACTCATCAAGGTTTGTGGAGTGAACATTGTGATAAGTAACGTTGGCACGCCAACCAATGACGCAGGTTGTAAACTGTCTTATGGCTTTATTAGATCGGTCATGAATAAACTTATTCGGCCGAACCAGCGCAACACCTGCATGATTTTGGTTTATGCTTGGACTCATTTTCGCATCATCCGAAATCCAGATATGTTCACGACGGCACTGTGAAAACACCCAAGTGCGTTCCGTAATAGAGCAAGATGTTGCTTTGGGCGGTCTAAGGGTAAGGTCAATGGCGCGTTCCTGTACATACAAGGTCAAGGTAGCACCATGATTCCTCAATAATCACAAAGATAAACGGACCTTAAACTGCAAAAGCACGCAGTTTGCCAAATGCGGTCATGATGGCTGCTCCCCAAAGGCTGATGTGCAAATCAAACCCAGCAGCTTAGCTAGAATCACGCCGCAACACAACTAAAACCGTTATTACCCTTTCGTAGTGCCCCGCTGACCTTTCGGTCACCCCCGCCACCATTCACAAGAGGCCGGCGGTCACCCCCGCCACCATTCACACGAGGCCGGCGGTCACCCCCGCCACCATTCACATGAGGCCGGCGGTCACCCCGCCACCATTCACATGAGGCCGGCAGGTCACCCCGCCACCATTCACATGAGGCCGGCGGTCACCCCCGCCACCATTCACATGAGGCCGGCGTGCCTGCCGAGGCCCCGGCCGCCGCCAGTCCGTTGCTCCCGGACGGGCGCCCCTGACGCCGTCCATGTGGACGACCGCAGATGGCCTGGAGATGGCGGGGCGGCTTGTGGCGTCGTGCACCTGTCTGCAGGCTGCAGGCCAGTGGGACGGAGCGGCGCGCCGGCCTGACGAGCCGCCGCCTGCCGTCCCGCCGGACACTGCGCCCGCACCCGGTGAGCTACCCGGCACGGCGCGTGCCCAGCACGCCGTGGTGGGAAGTGGGCTGTTCGGTGGCGCGGCGCGGGGCGGCGACGAAGCGCTAAGGCGTTATGTACGGTGATGTCGAGACCGGCCCCACCCTGGCTAGAGTCGGCCAGTGGTTAACAGTCTGTGCAACAACCCGGCAGCACCGGGTGCGACCGGCTGTTGCCGGGCGACCATCGTGTGTACGCTGGTCACTGTAACAGTGACCGACGTACACGGCACGGCGTGTGCGACAGTGCGACGCACGGTCGTGCTGCCCGACTGAACAAGGCTCGCTGAGAGGCTGGGAGGCTCGCTTTGCCCCCGTCGAGGCGACCTGCCGCCGTGACCTATGCCCCGGACGGCGCGGCAGGCCGGCGGCGCACCCGACTCCGGAAACCAAAACACGGCTCGGGTGCTCTGGGTCACGACCTCGTGAGCCTCGTGCCGGTCGTCGCTGACCGGGCCGGCTCGTCTTGCACTGACCGGAGCCGGCCGCCAGGGCCGTGTACCGTCTCGGTGGCGCAGGTCGTGATCTCCAGGCCGGTCTCTGTACCGTGTACCGTCTGCGGGAGCAGGTCACGACCCAAGCGCTGCCGCTGGCTGTCGTGGCATTCCGGAATGGAACGCTGTCATGGGGCATGGACCCCATGTTGGAAACAGCGTTGGGGAGGACCGGATCTTCGGCGCTCGGTACCGTCAGCTACGTGGGGTTTGCTCGGTACCGTGAGCTACGGTGGTTCGGTCGGCCGTCGCGGACGTGGGCGCCCGCCGTATTCGCGGTGACAGACGGAGCGGGGCACGCCAAAAGGAAACGCGATGACATTTTCAAATGTGGCAGGCCGGAACGCGGGAAAAGGTCTCCGTTGGTCGCGGTGATGTGCGGGTCCACGCGGTCCGACCGACGCCGTGCCGATGTTTAATCCCAGCAGATCAGGACTCGTGAGGCCCGGTCGGAAAATCGCACGACACACGTTTGGGTCAGATGTTAACACATGTGGTGCAGGACATACATAAATGATGTAGTCTTCCAACAAAGTTAGAATTAGAACAGCCCAAAGGTCCACACGGTACCAAGTCGTAAGCGCACTCTCTGGTGGGAGCTCAGTGTTGATGCAGCTTTTGTTGTTCCCTGGGGATTACGAGCGCATCGACTGTTCAGGTTGTATCGTGCCTACTAATGCGCGATTCTTCCACACGAGTTGATTCACTGGCTGGTTTAAGGGTAAAGACGATTGCACCGTTTGCAGCCCCGAAAACTGGTTTCACGACACAAAAAGCTGTAAGTTGCAAGATTGGCCGCGGTAGCAACACATCAAGAAGAAATACATTAACAGCCGTACACATCAGTGCCACAACAGGGTGTGGTCAAACTGTTCATTTAACATAAATGCGTGGAGTGGAAGGCCAACTGCCTGCGAATCCTACAACACTATAATACCGTAGATTTACGACAGCAAACTTCTTCGAGAGCTCTGTAGCTGGTAATGGGCGCGAGCATGAGCTCTTTCACAAGTATGTCCACGAATGGAAGCCAACGACAGCTATAGTCAAATACGACAGACGAAAATGTGCATGCCTCGATCCCGACTGATGGATTTCAGCACACATGCCTCAAGCCGTCCGGCATTCCGAAGCAGCAGAACAAAAGACCACGTCCTCCAAGGTCAAAGCGGCCACCCGCTTTGGTCTAGCGCGCCGCGGGACGCCGGGCTCGGATGACGGTAACGGGTGGATCAAGCCCCCGTGGAGGAGCACCACCCACGCCGGACCGGCCCGGCGGATCGTCGTCACGAGCGCGCACTGCCAGACCCGGAGCCGGCTCGTGCCCAGCGCCGCTTCCTCAAGCCTTCTCAGCTCTGGTGGGCTCGGGCTGCCACGGTCCCATCCGCCCCACGCGGCGGCGAGGAGCGGCGCACGCTGGCCGGACGCCGTCGCCCAGCCCGCCGCCCGCCGGCCGGAGCCCCGCTATCAGGTGACGCTGCCGTTTTGGCCCGGAGCGTGCGGTGCTGATTTGACCTATGCCGACCGATCGCGAGCTCCGACGCCGTACAACCGCCGCGGCGCGAGCTCCGTCGCCGCCCAGCCGCGGCGGTGCGAGCTCCGTCGCCGTCCAGCCACCGCGATGCGAGCTCCGTCGCCGTCCAACCGCCGCGGCGCGAGCTCCGTCACCGTCCAGCCACCGCGGCGCGAGCTCCGACGCCGTCCAGCCACCGCAGCGCGAGCTCCGTCGCCGTCCAGCCACCGCGGCGCAAGCTCCGTCGCCGTCCAGCCACCGCGGCGCGAGCTCCGTCGCCCCCCCCCCCCCCGCTCTCAGAAAGACGCGGCATCCCCCACGACCATTGACCGGATCGGACAACGGTACAGGGCACGCCACTGGGCTAAACTAGCGGTTCCGATACTGATAACACATCTAGAGCTTCGTGACCAAGGTGCAGAGCAGCTTCCCCGTTTGGTTTGCGCGGCTCTCCTGCCGACGCCGTGTCCGCATGAATGGCGCCGCGTCCAGCGGGCCGCTCGCGCCGTAGCGCCGGTGGTCCGTGCCGTGACGCCGACTGGGAGGCGCACTGTTGTCGGGCGCCGCCGGCCGGCCGGCCTCCGCAGTGCGTCGGCTAAGGTCACCTTGTGTGGCGGGTGGCCGTACGTGCACCGGCGCACTCTGAACCGGCTCCGCCCAACGGCGACAAGAAACCCTGGCACGGGTGACAGCGGGCTCGCTGCGAGGGGCGTAGCAGACGTGGAAGAATTTACGCAAGGACGGCGGCGAGTTGCGATGCCTAATGCAGGGGCTTCTCCGCGTCTCAAAAAATAAATTTCAGAGGAGCTATCGCCTTGGGATCGCCAGGCCCAGCCCACGTAATTCAGTCTGAAGGTTAACATAAATCCAGTCATTCCTGTGTCGTACCCAGCGACCTTTTCTCCTCCACAACCACGGTTCCGAGCTTCTGACTAAGGGGCACCTTCGGGATGGATCTGGGGAGCATGATGCAACTCACAAGTTTTGCACGACGCACGCGCTGTTTTCGTGTGGGAAAGGGGAGGAGGATCGTTAGTTCCTCAACGCATGGTTGGAGGGGAAGGAGGGGAGGAACCGCACCGGCAATTTCCTCTCTTCTGTGAGTTGGAACCTCCAAGTGCCACGTCGAACCCGCATCAAATATTGTATACAAAACGGGTTCCGGGACCATGTTGTCATGTCAAACGCTTCAGTCCCCCATTCAAATGAACCTTAACAGTCTCATGCTACCACATGCCACAGGCGATCACTCACCTCACGCCAGTCAAATTTGGTTCGGCCTGAGACGGGTCTGGTGCCGTTGGCGCATGTCCAGGAAACGCACGTCTTGGCGAGCGAGATAGCTCGTGTCAGAGAAGCTCGTGTCAGAGCTCGCTCGCCAACTTCACAAAACCTCTGAATGATTCGACACAAAGCCGAGGTGTGCACCGCGTCATTCACCCAGCTTACGCGCATATGTGCAACCCCGACAGCATGGTAACAGCAACTCCTGTGAGCCGAACAGGAAGCGGGCCTCCAACACAATGGAGCGGTAGCCATCCCGACAATTCGGTGCTTTGGGCTAGATCAGTTAGCCTCTGAAGGCCACCGCTATGGCGCTTCATCGACCATTGGCACGCCATCTGCCTGCACCGCCACCCGGTGCGATGGGCGGGGAAGAACCGCAGAGCAGTTATGGACATCTAACACATGACGGTAGTTGTGTTGCATTCATCCACTCGCGACCGCTCCGCATTCATTAACGAGACCCAAAACCAAACCCAAACTCCGCCCGGACTTGAGCCGCGGTTCCGGCTCCTCGCGCATGAGTGACGACTTCCCCTGGTTGATAAGAAGTGGCACAGCGTCGGCTATCTTGTGGCCGCGTGACCACGTCACGCCCCCCCCCCCTACCCCAGCTGAGAAAGGGTGGGGCAGCATGGGACGACCGCGCCCGCCTCCGATGCCTGCGCATGCTCGCACCATGGGCTCTGAGCTCATCAGTATGTTCCGGAAACAACACGGCTGTTAAAGCCGCGACCAGGGGCGTTCGCAGGACGTTAGTCGGGGGAGTCAGGCATGAATGAGGGCCGGGTTGCGCCTGTGACTGAGGCCGAGCGCTCGCAATGCAGGGTTTCGTTCTTTGAGGCAAGGGTGGACTCCTAGTCACTGGACTTTGGACCGCCCCTGCGGATAACTGTTGTTTGAGGAAAGGGGTCATTTATTTCACCCACGTCCCTGGAGAATAACAACACACCTGTTATGGTTTAAAAGGACGATTTTGAAGGTGAGACAAGCAAAACAAGCAACACGTGGGATTGAATGCTAACGGTGAGCTGAACAAGACCGGCTGGCGGACAAAAGCCCACCCGAGGGGCGCAGGCGTCGGAACAGCAGCCGGAGGTGCACCCGGCACCCACCGCTCAGCAGCGAGCGCTGTCTTCGGCGACCGACCAACAACCACAGCGCTGCGCCCACTGCCTACAAGAGCCAGCGGTGGCTACCGCAGGCGCGCACTGCGCATACCACGTAAGCCGGCCGTCATCACGTGGGCGCCACGGGAGTCTGTGGGAGCCCTCCGCCTGTGCCGCCCGAGGCTCTGCTGGCGGGGACGACCAAATGGGGCGCTGCCGGACCGCCCTCGGTGCGCTACTGTTTACGCCACCGAACGCCGGAAAGAACGTACCGCAATCAGGGAGGCTGGCCCAGTGGCGGCGGCAGCCCCAGTGGCACCAGCCGGCCCCTCGCTCGCCGCTGGCCTTGGATCGATGGCGCCCAGCTGGCCGGCCCAGCGACGCACCACCAGGAAGACGGCTCCCATTTTTGTGAGCGGGTCGGGCGAGCGCCCAGACGGTGCGCACTGCGCGGTGCACTCTTCCGCGTACAGCAGCGGGGTGCTGCTTTACAGCTTCGGACATGCCGTGGCCGTGGGCGCTATTTAAAGCGTTTCGATTTGCCAATTAAATAACGAAATGTGCTCCAAAGAGGCGAGTAAATTTTAAGCTCAGCCGTGAAAAGTTTTCGACGTTATTCTCAGGACATATGGTTCCCTGGGAGGATCTTCTTTCAGGTCCGGCGGAAGGATGGTTCGTTCAAGGACAGCGGAAGGCTGTGCGGGTTGGCCCTCCGCCAGGTCTGGATGCGCGTGGGCAGCGAGCTACCCCCACCACGCCAATGTTTAATAGCTCCTAAGGACTGATCCATCCCTGTCCTGGCTGCTGACCCCATTCATGAAGGTTTGCACAAATTTGATCCAGTTGAGGCACCCGTCAACAATATCTGCTAACCTTCGTGGGAAAGGGCGTGACCAGCTTGTAACTCTTGTTACGCATGTAACATCTCCCCCCCAGGGCACTTAAAGTCGTCCAGTTGTAAAACTTTTTACCTGCAGTTTTCTTTTTTGCCAGCACTACCGAAACTAGCGACGGATTCGGTGCGCACACACCCACCTCCTGACCCTGGCATTGGCTGGGAGCAACGCGTCCTTTCTCGACCTTGCCTCTGTTTACACCACGTCCGGACGAACTTTTTTTGCCGGGGTACGCGTCGCGTGCGCGCCGGTCGGACCGCGTTATAGGCGGCGCAGCCGCTGGACAGGGGACGGAATGTCAGAGTCTCTAGCCAGGGGTCGACGCGATGCACGTGACGCCGGCTCGACGCGGAAGGTGGCAGGGACGGCACCGGAGGACGTGTTCACCACTGCGGTCGGTGGGGTCCGGGTCCTACTGTCGACTAGATTGGGTTATTGCTTTCGTTGTTCCTATGTGTGGGATAGTATCGGGGTAATTTCTGCTAGGGCGCGAGTTAGGCTAAGGGGCTACTGAAGGCAGTCTATATCAAGATGATAATTTTTGTGATGATGCTCCTGTAGAAGTGTTGCTGACGATGCGGTAAAGATGATTGCATGGATACTAAAGATACGGCGCAAATTATAGAAGCACCACAAAGATCTAGGATAGGACGCCCGGCATAAATATTACAGAAAATCCTTGGAGCGCAGGGTTTAGGAGTGTCACAACTAAAAGCAACTTGAGTATTAAGTACTGTAGTGATATTAAAATATGATTGCCTGGGGGCAGACAGGTTTGCGGTGAGGTTTCATACATAGTGTCCATGGAGTATGACATAGAATAGCAGCGCAGACCACAAAGGTATGCAGAAAAGTTACCAGAAGGCATGAAGTATGCGGTGTGGAGGCATTGGCTACGACGGCATGGGTCGTTACGGTGGGGCAAATTGCACAGGTGCTACAGACAGGTGCTTGCTCTGCAGTGCAACACAGGAACGTATGTAAAGTGTTTCAGAAGACCACGATCGAGTACGATAAAGACGTGGTCACATGTGTGACGGAAGACCACCGCGAATGCACACACAAGTACTACAGAAGAGAATTCCGGAAACACGTTTTCCATGCGTAACAACATCTATTGAGACCACAACACAGACCACTGCGCACGCTGATGTTGCTGATTGTTTACCTCCACAGCGTGGCGTTACAGACGTGCAGAGACGCCTCACTTGTTATCACACCAATGCCCTCGGACGTGGCAACATGATCCCTCAGCGGGGAGCATCTGTGACAGCGAGTAGCAGGACAGCCACGACCCATTGTCGACCCATTGAGCTGGTGCGGTTAGCAGTTGTTTAGCCTTCCAGACAGGTCGCTGCAATCGAGCCGGTGAAGCTGGTGGACTCACGGGACTTGAGCCTGGTTTTCTGGATCTGGAGCGCTCTCTCCGTGGGAGCGACGGAAAACAGCACGGGAGGAAGCGACTCGGTAAACCGACGACGTACGACGGACAACAGCACGGGAGGGAGTGACTCGGTAAACCGACGACATACGACGCGTGCGGTGTCATACACCAGGCGCAGGGTTGCTGGGCCAACCGGCTGGGTCCGACCATTGGTCCGCATGGCACGTGTGCAGTGCCCTCCGGCAGGGTACCAGGCTGCTGAGGCCATCGGTCCGGGGGTGCCGCTGCGGGATGGCTCGAGACCCAGCGGCGCGGAGGGTCGACACAGTCGTGTAACACTCCCAGCTGCCTGCCTCCTGAGCAGCTGGGGTTCCGGCGCTCAACCGAGTCACCCTATTGGACTTGTGCATGAGAGGCGCGCTGATGAGGAAATAGTTGCGGCGCTGTTGAACTCGCCAGAACTCAAGGGCGTGAATGGTAATGGAATTATAAATGGCTGCAGTGCTTTTAATTGACAATTCCACATGAATCAGGCAGCACATGCCGTAAAATTACGAATAATGTTGTCTTGCTGTTCCCTGGACTTTGAAACCACAACCAGGCAGCGTCAATCGCGCCCAAGCGCTGGATAACCAACCACGGCAAGAATCCAACGGAAAAATCGCCTTGCCAGCAATTCGACCAGACCACGCCAACGCGGCGACGCACGTGACGCCGGGCCCCACCGGCCGATTCCCACACCGTGACGCGTCCGGCAGCCAGCCGGGGTCCAGGGGACCGTCCCCTCTCCTCCCGCCGCACCGAAACGCGTCCGGCCGCACGGCCGCGCCGGCCACTCACATGAAGAAGAGGCCGCGCTGGCAGCCGTGCAGCTGGTTGAAGACGCTCCAGGCGGGCGGCACGAGGAACTGCGGGCAGGCGGCGTCGCGGCGCAGCACGTCGCGGATTGACCCGCTCTCGGCCACGAACACCACCTCGGTACCCTGGATGTCCTCAACGAAGAGGCCACCCAGCTGCCGGTGCCGACGGTGGATCAGCTCGTGCAGGTGGGTGGGGCCGCCGGCGCGCGCCAGGTCGCGCAGGTGGTAGCCGGCGGGCTCGGCCGGCCGCGGCAGCTCCCGATAAGGGCGCGCCCGCGGCGCTGCCGGCGCCAACGCCGCCGCCCGCGGCGCGACAGCCGCTGGGCAGGCGCTGCGCGAGAGCAGCCGCCGGCACAGCGCCAGCAGCTCGGAGCGGGCGGCCATAGTGCCGGCTGGACCTCGAGTGCCGCCGCCGCCGGCCGGCGCCGCTCTCATAGGCCGGCCGGCGCCAGCAGGCGGCGCTGCCGGCGCCCGGAGGCGCCTCCGCGCCACCGGTCTCGCACCTCGCCCGAAGTCGTCACGTCACGTCACGGGCTCGCTGGCCAGTGTGCTACCGGTCAGGTATCAAAATGTGATGCACCTCTTGTGCCAGAAATGTCTGTTGTGCATGCTAGCAGAACGCACACCGAGCCGTACGAGTGATTCTGACCAGGCCGTCGGGAAGAGGCTCCAACTTGACCCCTGCATTTAATCTGGTCGGGCTCTAATTCCAGCTTTTGAACGTGCCTATGCTGACCACAAAAGGCTAATCTGACACGGTACACCTGCTACATCCTTGTCCTTGTCCTTCACCGAGCTTGCACGTGTTTGTCTTGCATGCTCGGAATTAGCGTTGTCAAGGCGCTGCGTTCATCACCCACATTCCACTGAAAGAGGCGGAACATGAAAAATCATCCAGTAGTGGAGACCTGTCCCCGTGTTTTGCAGGCTACCAAACACTGATTTCGACAGCATTAAGCCAGTTGAACCATATTACCATACGTTGGACGCATGTGGATGACAATCTTTACACTTTGGAGCAGTGTTTCGATCGGGTATAGAGTACATCATGGCGGAGCAGCTGAGGAGTATCCGCTACTCCTCTCTCCCGGAGATGGGCTATTGAAGACGCCGGAGTCCTGGTAAGTATGCGATAAGATATCTCTTGCACCCGACAGATTAGGGTGTTTTCGAAGGAAAGGCCCTCAAGTGGAGTACCGATCCTCACGTCACGAAATGAAACCATTCTGCTTCAGCTAAGGTGAGCAGCAAATAGATGCCTTTATCATGCTATTTACAAAATGAATAGTACTGACTTACTGACTTGAATAACTTCTGTTCTGCAAACCTGTCTAAAGAGTATCTCCAGAGTATCTTAGCTACCATGACATGCAAAAATGGGGTGCTGTAGCACTCCTCTGAGTGTGGAGCCGGCGCAAAGGTCAACAAGCCGAGTAAAGGGACTTACATAACGCCATTCACGAATTATGCACCCACTGTACGTGATCCTCAAACATTGCTGCTGCAGTAAATGGCATCATCCCTCAACCCAAGGCAAACGTGTCGGGAACTTAACACCGTCGGAATAGCTCTGGAAAAACGAGCAATCCTTTCCAGGAACGCCACGCTTCGGAACCACAACTTGGGGGGACCGGAGCTCCTTATCGGCGCCCGACGGCGTGTTCAGAGAGCGGCGCCTCTGCCGTACGACACCGAGTGACGGCCAGTGATGTACCCGCCGTGGCGCATTTGGCAGCGAGCGCCGAGCCCGGCGATGGCATCGGGTTGCGACGGCGGCGGCGGACCATGTTCCTCGCGCTGATACTGTCGGCGGCGGACGGAGCGGGGCCCGCACGGCTGGTGTCGCCACGTGACGCCGCTCAGGAGTGTGACGATGCCGCGCAGGGGCCATGACCCACCGAGCAGCTCAGTCAGGGGGGGGGGGGCTGTAATGGCGGGAGAACTCTCATGACCAACTGAGGGACGCTGCAGCGTTGGCTGTCACGATGGGCGAACCCTCATGACCAACTGAGGGGCACCTGCAGGTATCGCCGTCACAGCGGGAGAACCCTCACGACCAACTGAGGGGCACCTGCAGGTATCGCCGTCACAGCGGGAGAACCCTCACAACCAACTGAGGGGCACCTGCAGGTATCGCCGTCACAGCGGGAGAACCCTCACGACCAACTGAGGGGCACCTGCAGGTATCGCCGTCACAGCGGGAGAACCCTCATGACCAACTGAGGGACCCTGCAGCGTTAGCTGCCACGGCGGGAGAATTCTCATGACTAAGTGAGGGGTCCCTGCAGGTATCATCGTCACAGCGGGAGAACCCTTATGACCACATGACGGGTCCCTGGAGGTGTCACTGTTACAGCGGGAGAACCCTCATGACCAACTGAGGGACCCTGCAGCGTTAGCTGCCACGGCGGGAGAATTCTCATGACTAAGTGAGGGGTTTCTGCAGGTATCATCGTCACAGCGGGAGAACCCCTATGACCGCATGACGGGTTCCTGGAGGTGTCACTGTTACAGCGGGAGAACCCTCATGACCAACTGAGGGGCACCTGCAAGTATTGCCGTCACAGCAGGGGGACCTCACGGCCAAGTGAGGGGTCCCTGCAGGTGTCACCGTCACAGCGGGAGAACTTTCATGACCCCATGACGGGTCCCTGGAGGTGTCACTGTCATAGCGGTAGAACTCTCATGACCCACTGAGGGGTCCCTGCAGGCATCGCCATCACAGCGGGAGAACTCTCATGACCACCTGAGGGGTCCCTGCAGGTGAGGCTTCTACAGCTGAGGAACGGAACGTCGGGCGAGCTTACAAAAATGGTGTGGGCTGTCACAGCAGAGCAATTTGGAATCAGCCGAGCGCATGTAAGTAAAAACAAAGAGGCTAGCCCAGGAATTACCGCTGCAACAGGTCATGAGAATGAAGCCCCTTGCTGTTCGGAGTGACTCAATGATCTACATGAGCATCGTATGTGCATTATTCAAACCACATGACGTGCGTCTCCAGCAAGCAAATCCTTACTGGGGCATGTGGTTTTTTCTTTTACCACCAGGACTCAAAGAAAGTTCTGGTGGTAAAAAAGCACCACAACGTATTACCGCCGCAAAACAGCACTAGACTCCACTCAGCCATGAACTACTTGTGGTGACATCACGCAGCCATGAACTGCCCATGGTGGCATTACTCAATCATGAACTGCTTGTGGTGACATCACTCAGCCATGAACAGCTTGTGGTGACATCACCCAGCCATGAGCTGCTTGTGGTGACATCACGCAGCCATGGACTGCTTGTGGTGCCATCGCTCAGCCATGGACTGCTTGTGGTGCCATCGCTCAGCCATGGACTGCTTGTGGTGACATCACTCAGCCATAAACTGCGTGTGGTGACATCACGCAGCCATGAACTGCTCGTGGTGACATCACTCAGCCATGAACTGCTCGTGGTAACGTTACTCAATCATGGACTGCTTGTAGTGACATCACGCAGGCATGAACTGCTCTTGGTGACATTACTCAATCATGGACTGCTTGTGGTGACACTACTCAATCATGGACTGCTTGTGGTGATATTACTCAGCCATGGACTGCTTGTGGTGCCATTGCCCAGTCATGGACTGCTTGTGGTGACATCACTCAGCCATAAACTGCTTCTGGTGACATCATACAGCCATGGACTGCTTGTGGTGACATCGCACAGCCATGGACTGCTTGTGGCGACATCGTGCAGCCATGGACTGCTTGTGGTGACACCACACTGCTTTCGTGCATGCACGCGTTTTTACGACTCATCATTGGAATGGGAATAAGTTCTGCTTTACTGTGGTACAAATTTTGATAGATTCGAAACGAAATGCAGTTTTTCCAAGACCCCGACAATGTTTTTCCACCATGTGATCCATAGAACCATCCCATTCCCTTTGCTGACTTCCTCACAGCGTTTATTGCTAAAGATAAAATGTTATTGCTTGTTGGATTCTGCCAGTGTACACTGTCTCGCGGATCAATTGAAATCGCAGTGGAATAAAACTAGCTGGTCGTAAGTTCGACACTGAAGATTAGGACTGCCTGTTTTACCTGCGTCGTGATACATTTTGCTTCGGTGTTTCAGGGCGGGCCGAACCCTTCCATCCCGATGCGAGGCGCTGGCTGACCTTCACACCAGTCAGCAGATGGTCCTCCCCGCCTGCCATTACGTCTACGGCGCACGGTTCGAGCCCAGTCCTGGCTGGGCCTGAACCTTGACCCCGATCCACGAAAGGCCACCGTCAAGGACCAAATCGGCTAGCCGGCGGTTCAGACCCATCAGCGGAGCGTCATTCGGATGAGCGCATCCCAATGGGACAAGCGCGATACAAAGCCAGAAGCGCACTGTGATCCATTTAGCTGACATTTCCATCAAATTTAACCGTTTTCGCAACAAGCATGCAAACATTGATGTTTTTACCACGGGTCTCTCTCTCTCTCTCTCTCTCTCTCTCTCTCTCTCTCTCTCTCTCTCTCTCTCTCTCTCTCTCTCTCTCTCTCTCTTTCTTTTTCTCTTCCTCTTTCTCTTTCTCACTGTTTCGCTGTCTCACTTTCCGTGTCACTCTCAGCCTTCCGTCCCTTTCCTTTTTTGTCATATCCCTCTTCCTCTTTTATCGCTTTCCTTTCTCTCTCTCCCCTCCCCCTCCGTTCATTGCTTCCGCTGTGCATAATGCCTCTTTCCCTCTTCTCCGTCCCTCTGCCCTGTCACGTGGCGTACCTCGAGGCGCGAACTTCGCGGATCCGATCAGCGTGAGACGCACCCTTTTATCAGCGAGCACTTACGGTGGGAAGAAGGAACCGCCAAGGTCAATTTGCACCGGGGTGGGATCGGGCAAATTAAGTGCCAGACTTGTTGCGTGAGGCCGGCAGGTGTCAAGAGCACGAACTCTGCACCATTAGTAAGTGCTTTTCGCACGCGAACGTGCTGGACATGAGAAGGCAGGAAGTTCTACCTTGTTATGCAAAGACCAAAGAGAAGGGTATTACACATCTGGTATGACGTTAGGCGCTGGTACATGGCGATGGCTTATGTCTCAGCTAGCTGTACCGACGCTCGTCACATATTAGTTTGAGCCCCACGGCTTAGCAGCTTTCCCCTGTATTGCACAGTATATGGGGCATTTGGTTCATTTATGTGGTAACCGCAACAGGGAAGACTGATGTCGTTGACAGAAGAATAAGCGATTAGCGATTAACTGTTATCACCTCGTGCGCCTTTGTCACACTCAGCCGTGCAGGCAAGCATTGAACTATCCTTGCGGCCACCGTCGGTGCCTTGTCGGACTATGGGGCCCACCGCCGCACGGGACGAGAGCCCAGAAACCACGCTACATTGTATTTAATTTGTGTGTTCTTGAATTAGCTACGTTGACTAACATACAGGCGTATTTGGTGATCCATCTGGCGAATCCCAAGTGACAAGCGCTGATTTCGACGAAAACGCCGAAGACGGTCACTTTTGGTGGGAGAACACCGAAGCTATCGGTTTCTACGTACCACTTGGCTTGCAAGGTCAAAAGAGGTTCATGTGGAGGCGAACTCAATAGCGCCCACACGTTGCCAGCAGAGATGAGATATTTTAGAATTTTAATAGTCTTCAGCGCAAGTAAATAGTGACCGTCCAAAGGTATTGGCAAGTCAAGGTCAACCTTCATGGCCACATGGAAGACCATGTGACGGGAAGCTCAAGTTCACCAAAAATTTACGATCGATTTCAGATTTTTCAGCAGCAGACATATTTTTACCGCGAAAAGAAATGTTTTTCAAGCAGTGATCACTTTTAGGTCAAGTCTAATGAACAGATGACCAGGAACTCGATTTCACTCAAAGGTTTCCGGCCGATTTCGGATTTTCTGGCTTCAAATTCTTCGTTAG